TTGCGACAGTTGGCGACTCCGCTGGGGATCTCGAGAGTCAAGCTACATAATTAAGTTCGATAAGTTTTCTATTTTCCTATTAAATGTTGGGTGTTTACTTTCTTATTTGCGCAATTATATTTTCGCAATTTAATTTTGCATTCATGCATAAAAGCTCTATACCCGAGCTATCCTTTTAGAAAATTGAAAGGAGTACCGTGACATCCACAATAGTGGTAGTCACGCAAAACTTTCTAACCAAGTTGAACTCGGATCCAAGGATGATCTCGAGGTATCCAGCCAGTTCGAAAGAGCTAGGGCGGGATACAACTTGGGGGCCAAATCCCTAGGAATTCCTTAACCAGCATATAGTAAACTTCGAAGCTACCCTCGACCATCCAAAAAATCCCCAAAGCCACCCTAAGACCATGTCGGTACGCCATCCGAAAGCCCTAGGTCTACCAAATAGGGTAATGATGTAATGATATATGTTTGCTTATCTAAATGGATGTCTGCTTGCGATTTATTGATATTGTGCTTTATCTTTCACTCGCAAAACTATGTGATTGTATAAATGAAAAATGTTTTCAAAATTCGTAAGCATCATTCTGTCATAACATTTTCATTCACTCATTTACAACTTATCATAAAAAGATAAAAATGCATGCATGATGAAAAATAAATTTGCATCCATACATCATTAACATTTGCATAAGCATCATGCATACATACCCATAATAAAAATGAAAAATAATTTGTCAGTTTTAAGATGGTTCAGGGTTTCTAAAATCATTCATCCACGAGGAAAGAGAGTCAAGTCTTTAAGTATTTGACAAGATCCAAGGTTGAGCCCATCATGGAGGCATTCCAGAAGAAGATGGGTGATGTTGAAGGAAAGTTGACCGGATTCGATGAAAAGCTATCTGGGTTCAATCAAAAGCTAGAAGATGTCGACGAGGTGAAAAATCAACTAAATTTGCTTATAGGGATAATGTCAGCAAAGAAGAAAGAGGTAGCAACCAATGACGAAGAAATGTCAATTTACAATGACGATAATGGCAAGCCACATAATGGGGGCAATTCGAGCAAGAAATTCATCAGTATACCCATAAACGAGAAGCTTGATAAAGACAAAATTGGATCATCAAAACTTGATGACTCGCAAGGGAGACGGAAGTTAAAAGAAACTGTGATCGATGCCACATCAAAAGAAAAACTTGAACGACTCGATGAACGAATAAGAGCTATAGAAGGAACGGAGTCATACGGGTCCACAGATGCATCACAATTATGTCTGGTCCCAGATGTGATAATACCTCACAAATTCAAAATGCCAGAATTTGAAAAGTACGAAGGTGCTACTTGCCCCAGAAGCCACATGGTTATGTATTGCAACAAGATGGCTAACCATATTCGGGATGAAAAATTGATGATACATTGCTTCCAGAATAGCTTAAGTGGTCCAGCTCTAAGATGGTACATGCAACTCGAAAGATCAAAGGTGAAAAGATGGCAAGATTTGGCTGATGCATTCTTCAGACACTATAAGCATAACCAAGATTTAGCTCCAGATAGGGAGGATTTGCGTAATATGGAGAAACAAGAGAAAGAATCTTTTCGTGAATACGCCCACAGGTGGCGAACAAAAGCTATAGATGTTCAACCTCCTCTATCGGAGAAAGAAATGGTGTCAATCTTCTTCGACACACTCAAGCCTCCCTACTACAACAACATGGTAGGAATTACCACGACTAACTTTGTCGATCTTTTGATAATCGGTGAAAGGATAGAAAAAGGGATCCGACAAGGCAAGATGGAAATACCAGAAGGCTCCGCGAGACTAAGCCAGAACAAGAGAAAGGAAGAAGAGGTATATTCATCCCACAAAGAAGCAAAAGAGAAAACACGAAAAAGCAATTTTCGAAATAATCAAGCCCTCCCATATGTTGCAACTACTACACCAATATTGCAACCTCCAAACTTCATGAAATCAACGATCCAACATCCCACACCAATACCACGACAAGGTGCCAATCGAGATGTTAGTATCACAAGGAAAGCAAAAAGGGTATTTGACCCTATCCCGGTCACGTATACCGAACTCTTTCCTCGATTACTCCATGATCGTCTAATCACTCCTATTCCGGGCGAGACTCTACAACCTCCATTTCCAAGGTGGTATAGGTTCGACAAGCATTGCGATTACCATTCGGGAGTCCAAGGGCATTCAGTGGAAAATTGCAACGCTCTGAAGATAAAAGTTCAAGACATGGTGAACGCCGGATGGTTGAAGTTTGAATAAGAGGAGATCGTTTACACGTCAACAACAACCTGCTGCAGACTCGTGGAAGTCAATAAGCATAATCCCAAATAAATATCGAGATAGCTCGCCACGATAAAAATGTATCACCTTTTGCTGTCATCATGAGAAATAAAAGGTTACTCACGTTTCTATCTTCTCGGAGCATTTCGTGATCATTATCAATCTCGATTTCGGATTTCCCATCAATGGTCCCTATCTTTCCAAGTAAAAAATCTATTTCACGAATTTTGACTTGAATTCTCTGAAATAAATCATAAATCAATTTCATGTGTTCAAGTTAAGCCATGGGATTATCATACCAAACAACTATGAACACCCTACTGGTGTTGAGAGATTACGAACACCCTACTGGTGTCACGATTTTGAACACCCCACGGGTGTTGAGAGTACAAAATGCCAACTTATGTTGAGTATATAAACACCCCACTGGTGTCCGTAAATCATGTGAGATGATAGTCAAGGGATGTAGTGGGGATACGACATCAGGCTATTTTAAGAATCCTGTCACATTTAGTCGAATCTCGTCAACAAAATAGTGTTTGAAAAACCATCCTATTAGCCCAGCCATCAAGAGAGACACTCATGTTGTCAGCCATCAAGACAAAGTTATAACCCTTTTGTGATCGTGCCCAAAACCACAAGTTCAGTTGAAGACTTAGTAAAATACGTAGGGGCATAACAAAGTCAAGCAAGTCCCACAAACGTGAAAATTTCAAAAGGGAAACAACAACAACAAAACATTGTGGGACTTACAACTAGATGCCCCTTTCTATGTTATCTAAAGTCATAACCACTCAGCCAAGAGATCTTCCAACCAATATCCAAGGAAGAAGCTCCAGCAAAAGCTTACGTGATAAGAAAAAAAACCATGCAGTCACTACCACTACACAAAAGAACTCCTCAGCATACCATTCTGGGTTGGAGCAAGAGTTCATTTGCTTCCTACTCATTCTTGCCTCTCAAAACCAATATTTTAAGAAAAGAGGGCAATACAAGCTATAGATATACTCTCTGGAAACCACCAACATTTCCAAGAAAAAGAAAGACTTCCTCAATGAGAGAAAATACAAACCTTATACGAATCCCCTATTCCCATAAATTAGCCACATATCTTTAGGGGCAAGCCAAAATTTCTCGACAAAAGTCACGAGATGGCCAAAACCTCTCAAATATCCTCATTGTGTCATTGTCTTGACCCAGCATTACAGGGCAGTGAAAATTTCAGGATAAGAAGATCCCACAGTCAAAATCAACCAATAACCTCATTTCATGAAAAATCATATACCTCCACGACGAAACCATATGAGATCACCTAAATCAACCACTCAAAGCTCTCTTGTTGAGAAAAACCTTAACCTCAAGCTCATGTGGCCGTCAACATAGACAGAGTCATCTCATGGTGACAGGAATCTTGATAGTAGTCGAAGTGTCGTAAACTTAAAACATTCATAGGAATGAGTGAAAGTGAAAAAGAGGTAAAAAACAAGAGTGAGAGATCATGGATATTCTCATGGCTTGCTTTGCACTCTTCTTGAAAGAAAAACAACTTTGAGCATTATGAAAACAAAATTTGTAGCAAAAGTCACATAAGAAAATGTATTTGCTGATTTTGCACACAATTCCCTAAACAAGAGCTTCATTATCTAAAAAATGAGTTTTCACTATGTTATATCAACAAATTTATTTGCAGACGTTGTTGCATTTATCCCGATTCGAGGATGACAAAAAATCACTTTTCGTTCCAGAAGATGGAGAATGAATACCCTATCTTTGGGGGCAAAATTGGGGCAACTTAGAAGAAAGTTCAAGGTACTAAGTAGCTAGACTACTCAACTTTCAACTCCCTATTTATGAAGAAATTTTGAAGAACTTGGAGACACTCAAGTTCCATGAGACCAGGTGGTCAGCAAAATTATTCTTCAATGACATGCTCACGAGAAGAAGCACAAAATACTCCGTCACCAAGAAAGACAACCTCATAAGAGACCCATGTGACCTACATCGGGCATCAAGAAAGAAAAGACGGAACGACATGGTACCTCAGGGTTCCCTATATCCAAGATAGGCTCAACCAAAAGTATATTTTGAAAAGCCAATCCTGACAAGACACACCTCAAGATGATAAATCTTCTTAACCAAGCCAAATATCGCTTACATCGCAACAAATACCACCAAGGGCAGGGCCCCCGGTCGAGCTAATTATTCCAAACCCTAAGCCTAAGAGGTTGGGTTTCCCATTCAACACGTATCAAAGCAAAAAATTACCCAATATCCTTACCCCTGCATCATAGAGGCGGATACTCAAAAGCTCACACTATCGAGTTTCGAGCTCAACTAAGGATCAAGTCTTCCAAAGATGATGACAAAATTCCTGGTGAATGATCGATTTTAAGAAACCCAGGACCAACAACTAAGACAATGTATTTTGCATGACATTCATGACATCATTATTCAATATGATACATCATAGTGTCATTTCTAAAAAAACATGTGCATCTTTACTTTACACATGCATTGAGCACCTCATCAGAACCTTGGGAATTGTCTGCGTCAACTTTCAAAATCTACCAAGATCCAAAAAATATCGCATCAACTTTCGCACTAGAAAACCTTAAATCCTCGCGTTGGCGAACGCTATACAAACCACGTCTTCGCGTTTGCGAACGCTATATAAACACGTCCTCGCGTTGGCGAACGCTATACAAACCACGTCTTCGCGTTTGCGAACGCTATATAAACACGTCCTCGCGTTGGCGAACGCTATACAAACCACGTCCCCGCGTTGGCGAGCGCTATATAAACACGTCCCCGCGTTGGCGAGCGCTATATAAACACGTCCCCGCGTTGGCGAGCGCAATACAAACACGTCCCCGCGTTGGCGAGCGCTACATAAACACGTCCCCGCGTTGGCGAGCGCTATACAAAACACGTCCCCGCGTTGGCGAGCGCTATATAAACACATAGACCATCCTGGCAACTTGTTCCGTCGACTATGACGGACACAAAAAATTACATGATAAATTTGTTTCGTCAACTATTACGAGTAAAGCAAAACTTGTTCCGTCGACTATCACGGACATTACAAAAACTACCTAGCCAATTTGCTTCGTCGACTATCACGAGCAAATTAAAACCCCCCTACTAAATTCGTTCCGTCGACTATCACGGGCAATTTAGAAATCCTAGACAATTTGTTTCGTCGACTATCACGAGCAAATTAAAAAACCCCTTCTAAATTTGTTCCGTCGACTATCACGGGCAATTTAGAAATCCTAGTCAATATGCTTCGTCGACTATCACGAGCAAATTAAAAAAACCCCTTCTAAATTTGTTCCGTCGACTATCACAGGCAATTTAGAAAACCTAGTCAATTTGCTTCGTCGACTATCACAAGCAAATTAAAACCCTCATGATAAACTTGTTTCGTCGATTATCACGGACAATTTAAAGAACCTAGTCAATTTGCTTCGTCGTCTATCACAAGCAAATTAGACCCCTGCTAAACTTGTTCCGTCGACTATCACAGGCAGGGCAAAAATTACCTTGTCAATTTGCTTCGTCGGCTATCACGAGCAAATTTAAAACCTCCTTCTGAAGTTGTTCCGTCGGCTATCACGGGCAGTTTAGAAAATCAAGTCAATTTGTTTCGTCGGCTTTCACGAGCAATTGAAATCCTTCCTTCTAAAAGTTGTTCCGTCGATCATCACGGGCAACCTAGAAAAAACTTCACCCACTCTGCATACCGCAAGGGGGAACCAAAATCCCAAGTCTGCTCTACCGCCATGGGAATAAATCTATACCCACTATGCTCACCACACCGGGCAACCAAATTCCAAAGTCTTCCCTACAGCCACGGGAACAAATCAACAACTCACGGGAGCTGAGGAGCGCCCCTACCATTCAATACCTCACGGGAGCTGAGGAGCACCCCTGCCAAATCAATACCTCACAGGAGCTGGCGAGCCCCTCTATCAGTCAACAACGTACGGGAGCTGAGGAGCGCCCCAACCATTCAAAACCTCACAGGAGCTGGCGAGCCCCTCCATCAGTCAACAACGCATGGGAGCTGAGGAGCGCCCCTACCATTCAATACCTCATGGGAGCTGAGGAGCACCCCTACCATTCAATACCTCACAGGAGCTGGCGAGCCCCTCTACCAATCAACAACGCACAGGAACGTCATGATCTGCATTTGTGACGCAAACAACTACAAGCAGTACTCACAACACTCAAGTATCACTTTCTGAATATATAACAAAATCGACATCAGAGTTTACAAAATATGGTGTCTTTATAAGAACTTTGTATAACTCTTTATCCAAAGAGATATACAAAGGGGGGCAACTGTAGACACCACATTTTGTCCGGGTCTAAAACTTCTATCACTACATTTGAAGGATTGGAGAAGGATTTCGGTTTGAGTTCCAATGAGTTGAAGTATTCGAGTTTGATATCAAGAAAGCGCACAACAAAGCATCATTGAAGAATTTGAAACTTGATACAATCATTCAAATGGAATACAATGACTTGGTTTCATATGGGATTTATAAAAGAAGCTCAAATACAAGTGACATAGTCGCTAAGAGGAGATTGGCCGGCACTTGAAGCCTTGAGGCCCAGACCAACCATTGACCTGCAAAAACAAAGACAAAATCAGTCAGAACAAACCCAAACTTGGATTCAAAGTCCACAAGTTCAAATCAAAATATATGGCCAAGTTCGGCCCAAAAGCAAGACTAGGCAAAGCCCATTTTGAGCCCACACAAAGAACAGCTCGGCCCACAAATCAAGGCCCAACTCATGTGCAAACCTTATCCTGAACCAGCCCTGACACGTCAGAACCGACCAAGCAAGGTGGAGGCTCATGAGGCAGCCTCAAAACCCGACCAATCAGAAAGAACCAGCGCATTTTGAGCCTTAACAAAGACGAACGACAAAGCAACACGTGGCATGCGATTTTTGCTATAAGAAGAGCTCTTCAGCTCTTGAATTGGAAAAAAAAGGAAAAAAGGGGGAGAAAACAGAGATTTCATCGTTCTTTCTTAGAGAATCCATGGACATCTTCCATTTTCGTTTTACAAGCGAGGTGGGCGAGCCAGAGGCAAAAGCAAAGGATCTTGAGGTCCAAGGTTAGAGATTTGTACTCTTTCGTCTATTTAGATAATAATACAAGTAGAACCATTTACGATCAATCACTTGTCCATATCCTTTTAACTACTAGTGTCTCTATCATATTAGTTTCTTTCATCTAATATCCATTTTTCATCTTCCCTCCATTTAAGTGCTCACTAATTACTATTGCTCTTTATGGTTAGCAATTAGTTATTTATTGACTATACTCGCTTAGCATACATCATGACTCCGCTTTTTATTTTACAAGCAGTTATTATAGCCAAATTTTCCTAGTTTTAATTTCCCTTCTTGCTATAGAGTCGATAACCACAATATTATCATACATAAACAAATTTAAGTAGTATAAATAGATAAAGTTTTGATCTCTTTAGATCAAGATCTAGATCCAAATCCAAACCCCCAACAAAAACACCATAAACATAATAAATTTCTGATTCACAAACTTTTACCAGTTCTTTAATCAATCGAAAATCATACATCAAATAAAATCATAAACACAAACAGTGATTAGTGGTCAATATTTTAGCAAATCACATGCAGAGGCTGTGATTTATATTCGTCAAAGTAAGCATTTTAGAACACATTAATTACTTCTCATTAAAGAAAATTCCTTTCTTACCAAATTCTAGCAGATTAGGAGTTACTTCTAAAACCATCAACCAAACCACCAAGCATGAAAATATTCGAGATCATCAAACACACATACAACATATTTCCAAACCACAGATTTGTAAACCAAATATAAACCGAAACACAATCCTTTCCTTTTTAGTTCAACCACCCCAATCATATTAACCCGAGTTTAGGACAACCTTACCCAGATCTGTCCATTTCCAATAACTGCATCAAAACAAAAGTAGAGGTCAGAATAGATTAAAGAGGTAATGAACCGAAACAAAAATAAAATAAAATAAAAAATAAAATTCTCACCTGACTTCGTCGGCTGAACTTTGCCGACGGAGATCTCGGCAACCAAAGAGTCCCTCATCCTCCACCCGACTGAAATAAAATTTTTATTAAAACCCAAAATACGAAATAAAAAAAATACGAATAAACCCCAAAAAAAATTAGTCCGAACCTACCGTCGACCGTCCCTTGGTCTGGACGTCGCCGCCGGTCTTCGCCCTCCTTCACCCCTCGTCCAACACCAAAAACCCAAACAAAAATTAAGATTAAAATCACGTCTTGTGTGAAAAAAATTAGATCTAAGCGTGCATGTTTAAGAGAAGCTCACCGAAGAGTTAACCGAGAGTAGAAAGAGGTAGATCGAGAGTCCCTCCTCGGTTTTGGATCGATCTCCGAAAGAAAAACAAGAAAAAGGGTTAGAACCTCATTCAAAAACCCAGAAATCAAAAGAAAATAGACTTGCATGCAACGATCTTACCTAGATCGAAGGTCTCCCGCTCGATTTTTAGCGACCTACGTCATATCGAGGAGAGAAAGGGTCGGCGGCTAAAGGAGAAGCTCCGAGGAGTTTCTTCACCCGGGTCGTTTTGCTGGCGGCGGCATAGGAAAGAGGCTAGGGTTTTTGCTTTCTGGGATAGAGAAGAAAAGAGCACGAGAGGTAGGAAGAAGAAGAGGGATCGGCGGTTGAGAGGCTAGAGGTGAGAGGAGAGAGCGGCGGCGACGAGGAACCAGATGGATTTCTGGTTTGGCGAGAGGAAAAGAGGAGAGAGCGGCGGCAGTTGAGAGGTTAGGGTTTGTGGTCTCTGGCCGAGAGAGAGAGGGGGAAGAGGAGGAAGAATCGAGAAGAATGAGGTAGAGAGAGGGGTTCGGCCGCCGCTTTGGTTTTGGTCTCAACTAGGGTTTCGATTTAGAGAATTTATACCCACCCATAAATGACAAAAATGCCCCTAGGGTTTTCAGTTTATTACACGGCCCTGCCACCGCGTTTTTGGGCAATTACAAAAATGCCCTTCCCCCTTTTGCTGCACCAAAACCATAAATAAAAAAATTTTTCAACCAGCGTTGTTCGAACCCGCGTCCTCGTGTGTCAAGACACACCGATTAGTTAGCCAACCAGTTGGGCTGCTGGTCCATCATTCGTTACTTCAACCATCCCGTTTTATTATATTATGTTTAAAGCTCTTAATACGAAATGTGAAATGCGGATTAAGTGTGTTTCATTTCTTTTTCTAATACACCAAGATACATCCTAATAATTAAAATCCTAATAATAATCAATCTAAAATTTAACGATAAAATTCTATTACGAGAATTACGTTCAGTGGAACGTGGTAAAAGTTATTTAAAATTATCAAAGTCCGAATGAACTACGTGGACTTTGATCCCGTCTAACGGGTACGTAGGCAACCGGTAAGGTTCGAGTCCAACTAACCAATTAATTATATCTTTTACGTCAGTGGACGTATAATTTAATTACAACTAACACGATTTAGTTTCTTCAATGGTCCAGTGGGACCTTAAAATTACTAAATTATTACTAAACACACCCAATTCATTTAAAACTTATCGACTTAAGTAGTACCGATTTAGGGCGTTGTGGGGGTGTTGCTTAACTTCCCCACACGTAACCGTACTCCCGAACCCAGAACTTCATTTTCGCAGACCATATCTCGGTTCTGACCCTAAGGTTAGAGCCGATCCTAAGAGTGTTCGATCCACTCCAAGTAAGATCGATGGCGACTCCCAAAACAGCCGACGCGACGACATTCGGACCCCCCGGACGGGACGGTTGCGACAGGTACTATGAGGTTGGGGAATCGAGCTCCGAGATCTTCAAATCACTCCAATCCTTGCCCAAGGGTTTTCTCTTCGTCACTCTCTCTAGGGTTCTTTTTCTGCCTGTAGAAGTCCAAAAATCCGGATTCTTTGCAAATTTCCCGAGCAGCCATTAAATAGGCTGAGATCCTGCAAGTTACAGCCTAAGGTACGGCCGTAACTCGCATTGACCGCCCGTAACTTGCAGCAGAACGATGCCATTATTTCAATCAGGAAACCAAGAGTTACGGCTTCCTTTGGTGAGATACGGTCTCGACCGTAACTTGAACGGGGAGACCGTAACCCTAAAACGCTCTTGGAACTCTTCTCCCTTCACCTTGCAACTTACGGCTCCTCTTAGTGAGTTACGGGCCAGACAGTAACTTGCAAGGTCTTGCCGTAACTCACAGGATCGATCTGCCCGTTCACTCCAAAATGTCTCGAAACTTTGCTTCGTTGCGCCCATTCAAGTACTAAGTCCCGAAACATCATAAACTAACACGCACAAGCGTAAAACAGGCCATGAGAGCAAGAAACAAAGCTCAAACGGTCACGAAATGGTGGGAAAAACATGTTAGAATATGGCGTTATCATCGACCTCCTTGTACGTTTCCTTCAACTGTTTGTTCTGCTCCTCTATGTCCTTGCTCAGTTCCGTCACTATTGCATCCGTAGACAAGCTCTTGCCCGACGCCGCCACTCTTGGCTATAAATAGGAGTAGGGGTCGATAGAGACAAGGGTTCCCAAAACCACACAATTGACGCATATGTCAAGTTTTTATCCTTTCTTTGCAAATGTAGCCATAGTCATAGTTTGGAGCTCTCGCTGAGCCTACATATGAGTAGGAGTAACATAATTTAGTTTTCATTATAAAAAACCATCAAACACACTCGTTTAAACTTTGTTTGAAGAGATTTGAGTCGTGTCCTAGAAATCGTTGCCCATAAAAGTCGAAAGTACATTCAATTTTATTCAATAGAGGTTTCCTCACAGGAAAACAGTAGGTTATTCGTTCATGCTATTCTAGCTCCTCATAATCACATCTCTTTCTTCTCATGACCGCAGTGCTCGCAGCACTCATGAACTTAGCCCAGAAATACGGGCTTGCGATCATGCACCTCTGACTGGGCCAAGGCCACACCATCGTTGTCTGATGAGCCCACTCGCCATTCAGTTTGGCCCATCCGCCGTTCTAACCGTACGCCACAGCCCAACTCTCGTTACCGTGACTATGAGTAGCCCATCACCAATCAAGCTTGCCGTTGTAGACGTAGGAGTAGCTTCTGGGATTTGTGGTGTGAGTTTGTTATGTTGACTGAGTCCTGCCAGTGGGTTAGGAGCAGTAGTTATTAGCTGATTCAATAAGCCATTCCTCCCTCTTAAGTGGAGCACGAATTTGTAGTAGTTAGAGAGGGAAAGATAGTTCCACCTTAATAGAATTTTAAGTTTCATCATTGATGTATTTAACGGGAGTAAATGGAATAATAGGCAAGCATGATTTCACAAGTAAAGAAGTATCTGATTGTTCTAGCCAAGAAAGTAGAACACTGGCCTACTCCTGCCAAGAAAATGGAGATATCTCGCAATACAATTTCTTGCCATATCATTTGGTATCAGAGTCCGGCATGGGCACCCATGCGAACCGCCTGGAAATTCTCGAGACAAACGCTCAAGAACAGCAAGCTACCCTCAAGGCTCTCATTGATCAAGTGGCTGTCTTATAATTGTCTTTGACACAAATTGCACAAGAGCGCACAAACCACCCTGATGATCAGAACTCCGGGAAGGGCGACACATCTGTACGTCAATGGCTACCACCGGCGGCACATCATCAATGATAAAGAAGAACGCGATCCCCAGCCCTTTTTTTGGGGTGAAATTAGCTCGGCTAGAATTCCCTACCTTCGCTAGAGGGGACCCCACCGTCTGGTTCTCCCGAGTCGAACAATTCATCGAATTCCAAGATGTCCCAGAAGAGCAAAGGGTGAATCTAGCGTCGTACCACCTAGAAGGCGATGCGAATCAGTGGTGGCAGTGGCTCCGGCGCACCTACCGCACAGAGGGGCTTCGTATCACTTGGGACACCTTCTCGTACGAGCTGTGGTCGCGATTCAGAGATACTGCAGGCACCAGCTTCGACGAGGCCCTCTGGGGGATTCGTCAAATGGGAACTCTCACTGAGTACTTGACGGAGTTTGAGAGTCTGGGCATCCGCGTTCACGGTTGGACGCAACATGCGTTGGTCGGCACCTTCATGGGTGGTCTTAAACCGGAGATTGCGGATTGGGTCCGCATCTTTGGCCCTCGGACATAGAAGGACGCCATCAACCTCGCACGAGCATGGGATGAGCAGATCGACCGGTATCGTAGTCCGCCGCGCCAACAGCCCAGTCCGCTCTAGATTATATCACCCCTCCCAGACCGAAACCACGGGCCACCTTCTGGTCTCGACCTCGACACAATTCATAGTCGTCGCGTCGCGGGACTTTGCTTCAATTGCGACGAGCTCTTCACGCCGACTCACCGTTGCGCGAAGCCTAGGTTGATGATGTTGCAGGATGAAGAAAACGAGGCAGACCACTTCATTCATCTCGACATTGAGGACAATGCCACTTCTTCTGGGGGCGGTAATGATGAGCCCACTCGCCATTCAGTTCGGCCCATCCGTTGTTCTAACCGTACGCCTTAGTCCAACTCTCGTTACCGTGACTATGACTATGAGTAGCCCATCACCAATCGAGCTTGCCGTTGTAGACGTAGGAGTAGCTTCTGGGATTTGTTATGTGAGTTTGTTATGTTGAATGAGTCCTGCCACTAGGTTAGGAGCAGTAGTTATTAGCTGAGTCAATAAGTCATTCCTCTCTCTTAAGTGGACCACGAATTGGCAATAATTAGAGAGGGAAGATAATTCCACTTTAATAAGATTTTAAGTTTCGAATCTTTGATGTATTTCAGTGGGAGTAAATGAAATAACAGACAATAATAATTTCACAAATAAAGAAGTATCTGGTTGTTCGATCCTAAAAAGTAGGAGAAATTATTGGCTACACCGGGAGTACCACGTCACTAATCCTATGTGGTGCTCCCGGCCAATAGCTAATTGCCAAGTATCCAAAAGCTGTATTAACCTTTTCCCGCTGGAAACGTATTAATTAAGACTTTTAATTCCTTTTCTGTTAATTTCCTTAAAGCAAAAATTAATATACAATTAATTAAACAGAATCGTTTCCTCTCCCAAATCCAATCAAACTCTTCGTCTAACAGCAGTCTTCTTCTCCTGCAGTCCTGCTGCTGGAAGTCCCGCAAAAAATACTCCTCAGCTTTTGAAGGTTTGTTTAAAACCAAACTTTGGTCATGGCAAAAATGGAGAAATATTTTGACCGGCGCAAATAATCGGCCGGCGGAACTCCTCATCAGAGCTAACATCACCCAGCTCGTATGAGTAAACAACTCACGCTGGCTTTTCGGTTAGAAAATATTCACCGATAGCTCCAATCGTTGGTGCTGCAAGCATTGCAGAGGTTTTGAGTTCTGGCCCCATAGGCAATGGAATTGCTTTTGTCTCTATTCCCCCAAAAGAAATGGACAAAGAAGATTGAAGGTATTGGGACAATAGAGAAAGGAAAGTAGCAGGAAAAGATGCAATTAATTGTCTTGGAAAGTTGTAAATTAATTAACAAAAAAGAAATTTCAAATACGTTTCCAGCGGGGAAATGAGTTAATAAAGCTTTGGACACTTAACCCGATACTTTTGGATACTTGGCAGTTAGTTATTGGCCGGGAGCACCACATAGGATTAGTGACGTGGTACTCCCGGTGTAGCCAATAATTTCTCTCTAAAAAGGATGTTGTAGGTCAACTTACAAAACATGTTGCTCAAGTCAACCCCGTCGACGAGGAAGCAAACATGTACCAGCTTCATCATCTTCCCATTGCAAAGCTCGATGGTGCACATCTTGTGAAGGAGGTGGCCAGTTGTCCCCGTAGTGTGCAAAAACGATGACGGTCACCAGTAGGCCAGAATGTCAGCTGAGTGAACGGGAGGCCTTTGGGAGAAGTTGCTTTGGGTTTTATGGATGGCTTGGACAGCTTGGGCCACGAGACCATTATTCAGCGAGAAATTGTATTGCGATATTTTTTTTTTCTTTTTTGCGGGAGTAGGTCAGGAGTCTACTTTTTGAGAAATTATTGGCTACACCGGGAGTACCACGTCACTAATCCTATGTGGTGCTCCCGGCCAATAACTAACTGCCAAGTATCCAAAAGTATCGGGTTAAGTGTCCAAAGCTTTATTAACTCATTTCCCCGCTGGAAACGTATTTGAAATTTCTTTTTTGTTAATTAATTTACAACTTTCCAAGACAATTAATTGCATCTTTTCCTGCTACTTTCCTTTCTCTATTGTCCCAATACCTTCAATCTTCTTTGTCCATTTCTTTTGGGGGAATAGAGACAAAAGCAATTCCATTGCCTATGGGGCCAGAACTCAAAACCTCTGCAATGCTTGCAGCACCAACGATTGGAGCTATCGGTGAATATTTTCTAACCGAAAAGCCAGCGTGAGTTGTTTACTCATACGAGCTGGGTGATGTTAGCTCTGATGAGGAGTTCCGCCGGCCGATTATTTGCGCCGGTCAAAATATTTCTCCATTTTTGCCATGATCAAAGTTTGGTTTTAAACAAACCTTCAAAAGCTGAGGAGTATTTTTTGCGGGACTTCCAGCAGCAGGACTGCAGGAGAAGAAGACTGCTGTTAGACGAAGAGTTTGATTGGATTTGGGAGAGGAAACGATTCTGTTTAATTAATTGTATATTAATTTTTGCTTTAAGGAAATTAACAGAAAAGGAATTAAAAGTCTTAATTAATACGTTTCCAGCGGGAAAAGGTTAATACAGCTTTTGGATACTTGGCAATTAGCTATTGGCCGGGAGCACCACATAGGATTAGTGACGTGGTACTCCCGGTGTAGCCAATAATTTCTCCTTTTTAGAGAAGAGTTTGGAGAGGTACGACTCTACTAGATTAGAACTATAATTTATGGTTGAGATGGACGTAGTCAATTGACTAAAACTCTGATCACCTGCTCCTATCCCATATATCAGGCTGAAAGAAACGAAACCAAATGTCCATTTATTAATCCCAAATCCACTGAATGAAAATTGCAATCATGATCTTAGCTTGATTCCCATAATTAACTTAACAAAAATTAAACAGCTTGATAAAAATTTTATGCAAAAAAACACAGTACTCCGACAATGTTAATTCCACGGACGATCGAGTTCATGACATCCAAAACCTTCATTTAGCGCCACCAGATGATGCTTTCAAAGCCTGAATCTCTTTATCCTTGGCAGCAACTTCTTCCTTCTTCTGCTTCAGTTGCTTATTAAGCTCGTCGACCTCCTTGTACGCTTCCTCCAACTGTTTGTTCTGCTCCTCTATGTCCTTCCTCAGTTCCGCCACTATTCCATCCGCAGACAGGCTCTCGTCCGACGCCCCCGCTGCCGCAGCTTTCAGTTTCGCAATCTCTTTGTCTTTCTCGCTCACCTGCTTCTTCCACTGATCAACCTCGGACTTGTAGGCAATGAGGACGCCGGCGTTGGCCATGCTGAAGCGGTCCCACGTCCAGGTGGTGACCTGTTTGACCCCAAGGTAGTTCCAGTCGTACAGCTCATTGAGCTTCCACACCGAACCAGTGCCTGCTTTGTAATCTTTGCTTCCGTCGGAGTTGTAATACACGAGCGCATAGCCCTCGCGGTTGGCGAACAGCTGCAGCGAGTAGAGGTTGGTTGCCAGCTTCACCAGGTTGGCTCCACTCAGTACGGTGCCGAAGATCTCCAGTCCCGTGAAGTTCGGGACCTGCAGGGTTCCGGCTGACGGCGGCGGCGTGCTCCGGACGGTGGCCACCACTTTCCATGTGGTGCGCTCCGGTTTGAAAAAGTAGGAGTTGAGGTCGCCGCCGAAATCCCAGACGTAGATGGTGTCGGTTGTGGCCTGTACGAATTGGTTGCTCGAGCTCAAGATGAACTTGGACATTTTTTTGTCCTTTTTTCCCCCACTTCCTTTTTGTTTTGCCCTTTCTGTTGCCTTTTGACCTTGCTAGAGAGCTTTAGTAAAGATGGCAATAATGGCGCAGTTGAGGCTCGGAAAGTGATTAATTATAGTTGGTGCGTCGCAATTTGAAAAATGAGGCCATCGCAATTTGACCGGAAGACAGCTCAGTGAAGTTATATATATTTAACTAACTCATTTTATATAATTATTATTCGACTGAATGCTAACATGTGCAAAAGCGGCGTGGTGATGATTAAAGTCTGTGGATGGATACAAAGTTAATGAGTGCTTAGGAAGGAGCTATATAGATTAGATAGTTAGCTAGTGGGGCGAGGTACAAAATCTATAATAAGGTCCAATTTGCGATGGCAAGGTACGTCACGTAATTAATATTTTAACCTGTAAAGTAGGGGTTCTTTTCACAAAGAGATGGCTTAATTATCGTACAAAAAAAAACACATTAATTATCTCCATTAATGAGGTACATAAGAAATGAAAAAACAAATCTCTGGACTACTCGAATAAATGTTGAATTATAAGTGATTTATTACCTAGCGATGGAGCTTGAATCTTGATCATGGTGGTGGTGGGTGCATGTATCGAACGAACCCATTGAAATCAAGCTGGTTATTGGTTAGGTAAAGAGTCCATTCCTGGGATGCGTAGTTGATCTAGTCATTGATGTTGGCCTAGTAATTAATTGTTAGTTATAAGTCTAGTAGGATAAAATAACATATCCTTTTCTTTTCTTTACAAATGCAAAAAAACAAAAATTATATAGTCGTTATTGTATAAAAGAATGAATGATGTATATAATACAAATTTGGATCACTGATGAAAGAAGGGCAGACAGTCGGGTACCACCCTTCTACGCGCTTTTTTTAAAACCAAAGTTAGAACAACTACTTGTCAAGACTCAAGAGTAGACCTCCACATCAATGCTCATAGAGAGGTAGCCTAATTTCTCTGTATTAATCATAATAATACGAAGTGTTTAAAATTATACTTCGACACACAAGAGATCGTCTGTTCAATTTCAGTCTTCAGCAACTGGCTACCAACTGTTACCGTGATCCTTCTCGTATCAGCCTCGGTCTCACCAGGGTTGACGGCCAGACAACTCCAGTCCATAGTTTAGCCTGTATATATCGTTACCAATGTGGCAAATGAGGATAGAGGGTTCTTCCTTATGAATATATATCACCCTATCTTAGTTGATCTAGCTTTGCTCAACATATATAAAGGTATTCCCGGGATGTTATTCCCATGAGCCAATTTGGGATCTACATTCTTGCGTTTGAAGGCACATAGAGCCAGCCAGACAAACATTTTAGCCTCTTTAACTTCTGGGTTACGTTAGACGGCCTGGACCCATGAAAAAAAACTTGATTCGGAATGACCCGGTTACAGCCCATTAAATGTAACACTCCCATTTAAGAATTCTGGCCCCGTAAAATAGCCCAATATAGTTAAGGTTATCCTGAAACCCGCTGTGGGAGTCAGCAAACACGTGACAACTTGTTTGAGCTATAAATTCATCTAGTAAATAGCGCACACGTAATTACAATACGTAGAATTGCCCATAAGGTAAGATCGACACAGAATCCTAGAAGCATATGACGATGTACAATTGATTGAGGAGGATAAGGTCAACACGAAAGTCGAAATCATCATCACTGGAATAGATAGATTAATTAATAATTAATGAGCCTCAATTAACACAATAATGGTAGGACAAAAGTCGGGACGCGGTTGTTGGTGGTTCTTCAATAATCACCATCATTATTAATTAACCCTTTATTGCCAAACTCCAATTACAGAGAACCCACAGACTCCACCCAAAACGGACCAAACCTCGCACATGCAAGAAGACGACGTCGTTGCATTCATTTTTATTCTCCTACCGACCCACTAAGACCCCAGCTCGACCATGACCCTACCAGTGGACAGCGGACCATCAGAGATCCTAGGTAACAAAGTCGGTTCACCAAATCGAAGACTATGTATGTATATGAAGCTCTGATTGTACCGATTGATGTTTGCTTTGCTTTGTTTATTGATATAGTTTATGATTCATATTTGTGATCATATGAGACTGATGGGATGTTGGAGCATGGAATTGAACTAGGGGCGCTGGAAGATTTGGCGCCAGAAGTAAGTTCAAATGTATTGTGTCTTTGGTTTATTTGTAGTTGGTCCTTGAGTTGTAAAGTTGTGTCAGTTTCGTCCTCGCAGTTAATTAGGGATTTCAGTTTGGTGAGAGTCGATCAAGTGATCATGGTAGCTAATTTAGTTGAGTCACGAGGTGACGGATGTTTAGTTTGTTGCCGAATTTCAAGGCTAGAGTCTAGTACATATTTTGTTTCAATTACGTTAAAATAAGATTAGTCAGTCGTTTACAACCCAATTTGAGATGACATTGTAGTATCAGAGCTACCTGTAAACACTAAACAGTAACCAAGAAAAACTACATAATTGTGTGATAAGCGAGGAAAGAAAGACAATCAAACTGGATGATCTCTGGGAAGATTCAGATGTTTAAGAAGAACTGGGAGTAGATGCACCTCCTAGTCCCACCACACCCTGAATGCTGGCTCTTCTCAAGCTTCAGCAGCTCAAAGTGACCAGGACAAAGACTCAGTTGCTACTATAAATTGATGTTCTAGGATTTCCTACCGCAATTAATGAGTTCTTTTAGTTCAATTTCTTGTCACTTTGGAGTGAAAACAAAAAAAATATATCATCCCATCCTATTACTGTCATATTCTCATGATATAACAATGATAAAACTACCATCAAAGCGGACATATATTGTTTTAAATGTATTCAGCTGACAACCCTTAATTCTAGAATTGGGACAAAAAAAATTAGTGATTTTTTTTATTGTCTTTGTTTTGCAGCAATGTTTAACAGACTTCCCCTCCAGCTCCCTGCTCTCCCAACTTGACAGTCTACTGTTAGTTGGGCAACCTGTACTTGGAATGGTTCCAGCACACGTTTGAAGTTAGGCAAGTTGATATGGAGTACGGTTATGAGTCATGTATGGAAGGAAAGGTGTCGCATGTGCTATGGAAGTGGGCTGCAACACCCTCCTCAGCTGGTGGCCAGAATCCGATCCTAAGCAAAGTTTTTGATTCAAAGTAGAGTGGATTCTTGTGATGTTTTGCCCAGTATTTTTTAGACTTGTCCCAGTTTGCAGTATAGTGCAGGAACAGGTGATCTTTTGATGGTTATTGTAATGGTTCAAAGTAGAGACGGCAATTTCGACCTGACCCGATTTACTCGATTTGTTTGGCCTGTTTTGGGGCGGGTCAGACCCTCCCTGTAGGCGGGGCGGGCATGGGTATCTCTCATCGACCCAACTTGCCCTGACCCGCCCCATTCTCGACCCGTTTTTGCCTAAGTTACATATATCGTAGTCAAATTACTTAGGATTCTCCTCTTATTACATTATATTTTAGCTATAATAAAGTTGTAATTAAGTGAAAACCTCAATTTCTTCAATAATTTAACTAGATTTTATCATATTATGGTTTCTTTCTTGGTCTTTTAATGAAAATAACTAATATTTCTAATATTTTTGACATAAATTACGTACCCATTGGGTCGACCTGCCCCGACCCGCGCCCGTAATAAATTACCCGACCCGGACCTGACCTGCCATGGGGCGAGTATGGGTATCAAGATACCCGCCCCGGACCTGCCCCATTGCCATTCCTAGTTCAAAGTTGTACACTTGAGAGAACCCTTAGTTACGAGGTGTTCTAGAGCTTAATGCAATTTTTATTAACCATAAAAAAATACTAACCATTATATTAATTTGCATGCATTTCTCTAACCTTGCCCAATACCATTCGGATTTAATTAATAAGTAATAACCCAAATAATCAAAAATGTTTTTTTTTTTTTTTTTTTTGCAATTCTCTTAAAATACATATACCACAGCTATACCTGTATAGAGGCTCATAACTTTCCCACGTACCAACCCTCTCTAATCAATTCTACTTTTTTCCTACAAAACAATTATCTAATTGTACTTTTATAATTAACCATTATAGTGCTGGCCCCGAGGTGGCATTAACAATTATTTCACGTGATTAGCACAGTCAATGACGACAAAACAGTTACACCAACCGACAATTTTTGTAGGATTATTAATTTTGATTCTTTCCGATGAATATATATAAACCCATATGTGTACTTAGTGTAGTGTTAGAGTGCGTAAATATTAAATCTATATCTTTTATAAATATAAAATAAAACCCCTATATGGAAAGTGAAAGAAAGAAATAAATACCACAAAATCAGATCTAGGTCCTGTGCTTCAAGGTTAGTGGGTACTAGATTTAATTAAATAAATGCACCAGTCCAGATCCAACCAGCTAATACGCCACGGTTCGAGCGTAAATGGAGGATATGTTATTTTAATTAATTAATTAAATACCCACCATAACCATTAAACAGCCAATGGATTGTTTATAACCAGTTGCCTGATCCGCAATAAATGTCCCACGTGGATACCTTTTCTAGGGAAGGATTGTTTTTATATAATAATTTTAAGGCATAGTTGTATATTGTTTTTACAATCATTTTAAGGCATAGCTTTCATTTTTCCGGATAATATTTTTAAGGCACAGTTGACAATAGTAGCGATTTCTGATTCCAGTTCCGTTTCCACGGTATTTTCAAGAGTAAGTGTGACTTGTAGAGCCGGTTCAATGAAAAAAGTAGAGAGTAAAAAACTAAGAATAAGAAAGTGACAACTTCTAATATAAAACTTCTAATATAAAATTTACATAAAAAAAACATCTAATATAAACAAAACGGGGAAAGAAAAGACGGTTTCTTTTATTCTATTAATGACTCATGAGAGAGAGAATAAGGTATATATATATATGTACATGTTTTGAAAAAGTCAAAACCGAGAATAGTTGGCTAATTTTGATTCATTTATAATTTTTCAATTTGAATTATTTCCAAACAATTTAAATAGATTCAAAATGAATAAGTTTAAAAAAATTTAAACTAAGTTAATGACAAATAAATCAAATTGACCTAATTATCTCATAACAAAATATCTTGATATAATTGATCGTCTACAATGGTCATTCAGTCTTTTACATGCCCCGTTCTAGAAAGCCTTAGTTTTTTACGCTCGTGAGTTTTTACTTTTAGTATGCTTTTGTTAGCTAGTAGCGATACGGCAAAAGATGCTGTGGTAATAGCTCTGTGTGTTTAGACCTGTTTAAATCAACCAGACTCATAATTAAAATTTGTAGAATATTGATAAGTATTTAACTGATGATTAATTTCTTTTATGAGCTGTAAGTATATAATTAGCATATTCTTTCGCGGTCCACGGTAATAATCATCCATCCATATGAGGTAAATATATTTAATTATTGACCACGTGAAACTCAAATGCGAAAGAAGAGACTATCTTGAGATCGATGTTCCCATCTCCTTTCTCAGAAAGTGTAATAATTAAACAGCACGCCAGTAATCTCGAGTCTCGACCATTGTGGCCAGAGACATTGTCCATGTGCAGGTGATTAGCGCTATATATGCCCCTCCCCATTCCCACTATATCCTCCACAGCTAACAGTAACAACAACACATCGCTTTTGGCCAAAGCAACTTGGCTATGGCTTCCCTCACTTCACTAATCTCTTCTCCACCGTCCTCCACCAACAACATATTCCCCAAAACCTCCCAACTCTCCGCTCCCATTGGCCGCCTCCAAACCCTCCGCAAATCCCAACTCGCTGTCACCTGCAAATCATCCAACGGCAGGTCGGACCCGTTCGACGAAGTCCTCGCCGCAGCCGCCGCCGCCTCAAGGAGAGATGTCCTCCTGGGCCTCGGAGCGGGTCTCTACGGAGCCGCCGGGGCATTCGCCACCGACCCGTTCTCCGCCGCCTTCGCCCGGCCCATCGACGGGCCCAGCCAGGACGTGTGCAAGCTAGCCACTCCATCTCCAGGCAACCCTCTCCAGATCGAGTGCTGCCCGCCCGCCATGGCCGGCCGGGAGTCCAAGCCCTTCCAGTTCCCTTCCCCATCCGAGCCCAAGCGGATCAGGCGCCCGGCCCATCTGGCCAGCCAGGACAAGGAGTACGTGGAGAAGTACAAGCTGGCCATGAAGCGGATGAAGTGCCTCCCACCAGAGGACCCACGCAGCTTCTTCCAGCAAGCTAAGGTACACTGCGCTTACTGCAACGGATCCTACGTCCAGTCCTCCCACACCAACCTCGGCCTCCAGATCCACTTCTCCTGGCTCTTCCTCCCCTTCCACCGCATGTACCTCCACTTCTACGAGCGCATCCTCGGCAGCTTGATTCAGGACCCGACCTTCGCGCTCCCCTTTTGGAACTGGGACCATGAGGACGGCATGGCCATCGCCGAGATGTTCAAGGACCCCGAGTCACCTCTCTTCGACGGCCTACGCAATGTCCACCACTTACCTTCCAACAAGCCGCTCGACCTCCGCTGGGACAGAGTGACAGAGGACAAGCCGTTCGAGCGGATCAGGGACGACAACTACGCTCGCGTCTACGAGCTCATGGTCTCGGGGGCCCAGAGGAGGCTCGAGTTCTTCGGGCCCAAGTACCGAGCAGGGGACCCGCCGCCGGCAGGCGGCGGCGGGACGTCCGAGCGGCTCCACAACATGGCCCACCTGTGGACAGGTGGCCACAACCAGCAGTTCGGGGAGGACATGGGAAACTTCTACTCCGCGGGGAGGGACCCGATCTTCTACGTCCACCACTGCAACGTGGACCGGCTGTGGAACGTGTGGAAGACCATCGGGAACTACAGGTTTGACTTTGACGACTACGACTACCTCAACACCTCGTTCCTGTTCTACGACGAGAACAGGGAGCTGATCAAGATCAAGGTGAAGGACGTTCTGGACCCTCAGGCCCTCGGGTTGGAGTACGAGGAGAGGCCCATCCCGTGGAGGAACTCCAGGCCCGTCCCCACAGCGGTGAATGCGGCCAGGACCGCGACCGCATCCGCCTTTGGCGGCGGGCCGGCAGAGGCTCAGGCTGCGGTGGGACCCAGGCAGGTGGACCCGTCGAAACTGACCTCGCTTTCGGCGTTCCCGTTGGTGCTGGAGAAGGTGACAAGCGTCATGGTGCCGAGGCCGAAGAAGGGGAGGACCGCCAAGGAGAAGGCCGCCGCCAGCGAGATCCTGGTCGTGGAAGGGATCGAGCTGGAAGGGGACAAGGTGGTGATGTTCGAAGTGGTGGTCAACGACGACCCGGACAACCCGAGTGGGCCGTCAAACTCCGAGTTCGCCGGGAGCTTCCTCAACATTCCGCACGTGCACGGCAACAATGGTCACAACAAGTTTGTTACCGGCCTGAGGATGGACATCACGGAGCTGCTGGAGGACATCGGCGCTGAGAACGACGATCAGATATTGGTGACTTTGGTACCTAAGAAGTCTGATGGGCCCGTCACCATTGGTGGGTTCAAAATCGAGTATTCCTCCTAGTCCTAGGTAGAGAGAATTAATCCCTCCCGCTCCCTTATTATGCGACGACCTGACTGTCCTCGGCCATGCCTTTTGCTAGTGTGCGCACGTTCTCTTGTATTTCTTTCCTTCGCCATTGAATAAGTAACCCAAACCTTCCCTCGATCCTGCCAACTTGATTAGCTCGTTGTGGGAAGTTATTGTGATTGTTATCTACGTCAGCTTTTCTGCATTTCTATGAGATTTATGTTTGGGCCATCTTTACGTCTGATTTAAAAGCTTTTGCCTTCGTGTGTTTATTTTTATTATTATTATCGATGAATTTTAATTTGCATTTCGTTTGAATGCTCTCTTTCTTTCTTTACCGATTCAACTCCGCGTGAGTTGAATGTTAGGACCGGGTCGGAATGAAAGCTCTATAACTTATATACCGCCCAAACAAAGAGATGTAAGTACAAATGTTGTCAACCCGATTTTGCACATTGACCCAACGAAGTAAGTTTGTTAAGGGATAATGGTCGATTCGATTTAGTCCAGATATATAGAAATAATCTTGTCAATATCCACAATAGGCTACAGTACTAACGACAAATTGTTGAGTTGAATCTCTTCCTTGAACCATCTTCTAAATCTGAGTACAGAGAACATGATAAGTTGAAGTAAATTAGTAATTTGTACTAAAAGAAACAAAGAATCCAAGTTTCGTTCACTTTGAAACTAGAACTACAACAAAATTAATCTCAAGCTCAGAAGTCAAAACAGTTTGTTCTCTTCAAGCTGAATGTGCATGATCTCCTCGTGTTAGCTTGTCGATGAGTACTGTGTTATGGATAATTGGATATAAGGATACAAAGTCAAAGTACGCTTTATCTGTACCTGCTAAGTCTTCTTCTTCAGTTTCCCGAATGCAACTCACGCCACATGCAGTTTATGTAGCTAATCCAACGTGATTGAGGAAAATTGTAATGCAAGTTATTCCATATGTATGTAAGGCATATGGTCGAATAACTTAATAAAATAATTTTTTTCCCGTGGATATAAGTCTCATAAAATGTGAGGATGAACCACATTAAACCGAACTTTGATGCCAGGTAAAAAAGACGGTAGTTATGACATATTTCTTGTCGGTAATGTAACACCTTAGAGTGATGTTGTGGCAAACCTATTGAGGATGTTGAGCCTCAAAGGTGGTAGGGTAGCCATTTTAGTGGTATAGATCCCCGATTTTGAAAACTTTAGTGGTGTAGTAGCCATTTTATCGGGTATTGTAACACTTTAGACAAATCTCACATAGACAAAACACAAAATAACTTTGTGTTTCATAAGGAACAATACACCTTATTAAGTGGGGTTTTGAGTTGAAATGAAAATTTTGTATAATAAATCAAAAGTTAAACATGCCCAAAGTGAAAAAGTGCAAAGTTTGGTGACCATTCGAAAAATCGTCACGATACACTAAAAAATAAAGCTGTGTGGACTAGGACCATAGCGATAATATTTTGATCAGAAAGTTGTTGTGTTTTACAAAAAAAAAATCCAAAAATAATATTGATAAAACGTAGTAAACTATCAATTATGCCTAAACATTATTGTCAAAAACAAAATACAATCATGCCTTGAAATAGTTTTTTCTATAAGCAATCCTTTTCTCGAAAAGATATGCACGTATGACATTTATTGTTGATCAGGGCCACTAGCTATAAACAATTACCTTCGCTCGAAACAATTTGCATTTATTTAAATAAATCTAATACCCACAAACCTTGAATCACGGGGTAACCGTCTATATCCTGGATAGTCCACCTTGCATTGAAGGCTGAAGTTGCTCTGAAGTTGTGGTATTTATTTCCTGCTTTCTATCGCGTTCCATAGTGGGTTTATTATATATTTCAAAGGAGTTGGATTAAATATTCACGGGGAAAAAAATTCCTACGTAAGATGTCGGTTGGTGAAACTGTTTGTCGTCATTGACTGTGTTAATCACGTGAAATAGGGTCCAGATCTAGTCGGTAAACACGTTGGCTACTGATTACGTATAATTTTTTCTTATTATTATATTTATTAAGCAATATTTTTTTTTTTTGCCCCTTGATCAAATCGATCAAGCATCTTGAAAAAACAAAGACAAATGTCTAACAAACTACTAAAAACATCAACCCTTTGCAACTCTATAAAAAACTCAGGATTGCCAAGTGCATAAAGCTGGATATCCGACTTCAGTTGCAAGAACAAGTCTTGCCATGGGGATAAGGGGTCGCCCTGGTCTGTACTCCTTTCTTAGCTGGGAAGTAACCAAATAGAGAATCATGGATACTAATGCTAAAGAGTAAAGAAGGCAGACTCTAAGCAAACCCTAACCCACTTCAGAAAATTGTCAAGGAAATTCATCCTTTTAATTACCAAAAACAGATACTGCCAATAATCCATTGAATCAAATGTCTTATGCAGATCAATTTAAATAGCACATTTGGAAGCAACATTTCTCTGATTGTATTTCTGAACCATCTCCTGAGCCATAAGTATGTTCTCAAGAATACTATGTCCTTTGATAAAAGTAGGTTGGTATATATTATTACTGAAAATCAAATTAATCATACTTTCTGATTTCAGAAATGTTGTTTTTATGGTATATATTATGACTCATCGCTCTATAATATGAATATATCATATTGTAAAATGATTGTATATATCAACTTATCAAGGATTAACATATTGTAACGGAGGATGTACTGGAAATATTTGTTGGACGATAATCTGTGTTACGATCGTGGTTCATCCAATTCATACCGGTAAAATGCTGTTTTTAATATAAAAAGTAATATTTTTTAAAAATAACGTACCAGCAAAAAATAGTCTACCGTACCTAAGTATTACCGACATTGTACCGTAATCATATATGATAAAAAATAGGCAAATAATTAATTAAAAATTCTTCAAATAATAAACTAGTCAACAACAAAGTATCAAATTACAGCATTAAATCAACCACATCATCCAATTGCACTTTTAAAAAGAACTCCGCAACTACCAAACAAAGTTAACATATGAAAATTGAATAGTTCATAACAACCAAACTAGAAACCACAACTTGAGAAATTCACATTGTCCTGCTCGCCGGGTTCATCTTCTTCATCATTTGATGCACCAACTACAATATGAAATCAAAAAGTAAGAATCTTTATAAATTATTACATACCTATAAAAAACAACTAAATTCACATTTCACACACAAACCTTGCTCTTCTAGTGTTCGATCTAGCTCACCAGCATCCAATTCCATTTCTCTAGAAGGTGAATCTTGATCTTCTAACAAGACTAGTAGATTCAATGCTTTCGGTACTTATGGGATCATAAGAATCTATGTTTATCAATCTTGAATAATTTCCTATTTTATAATCTCATTCTAAATTTTTACTTCGCCACTATTCATATTTATGTATAACCCTACGTAACATCTTTCTCATATTTCCCTTTCAATGAATTATCACCGTAAATTTTTTGAAACGACACTGAAATTTACTGACTAATTAATTACGACCTTGAAAACTCAACAATTATTCATGGGGTAACTAGCTACTAGCTAGCTCCAAGGCCACGGATCCTGCTCGATCGTTCCCCCCACATTATTATTTTGACACTTAATTGACATGCAAGAAGAAGAAGGAAAAACAAAGTACTAGCTAGCTAGTAACCAGCTGGCTAAGTTGTGCGCCCAAACGAGGATATTGATAACCTCGATCATCAGTTGGCGGAGCCGGCAGCCACGGCGGGTTTCACCACCGCCTTCCGACCACCGCCACCAATCTGGTCGTACAACTCCTCCAACTGCCTGTCCTGCTCGGCAATCACCTGCCTCAGCTCACGAATCAACACGGCCGGGCTAATGCTCTCGCCGCCATCACCACTCTCCGTGAACTGCGCCAGCGCGTCACCAAGCCTCTTGATCTCCTCGTTCTTGGGGCCCACCTTCTCCGGGTAAGACTCCCAGGGGAAGTAGTCAAACACTTGCATCATTGTCGGGGAGCTCACAATGGCGACGCCCGTGGTTGAGTCGATCTCAACGTGCGCTCGGCTGGCGTCGTGGTAGAAGGACACTCCACCTTTAGGAAGGTTCATCTTGGTGGTGAACAGCGTGGAAGTGGAGAGGTTCAGGTCTTCGACGGGGCGGTCGGCCGTGGCGGAGACATAGAGGACATTGGTGTCGTTTCTGTGGCGCACCACCTCCAGGTACTTGTTGTTGTAGGAGCAGAGGAGGTGGATTTTGCCTGGGTTGGAGGTTGAAGGGACGACCTCCAGCTTCACGAATGGGCTCACCACGTCGAGTTCACGGGGACAGCCCATGCTCTGGTAGTAGTTCGCGAAGTCGATGTTGTTCCAGATGAAATGGAGGTAAGCAGGTGTAGAGTTCGTGTCTTGCTTTTTGAGCACCACATACTTTGGCAAAGACGCCATCGATGATCGCTAGCGAGCCAAGCTCTCTCTTTCAATATTTCTGTATACCGGAAAACTGTGTATGAGGTTTTGGCACTACTTGTGAGTTGCTTTGGTTGGCTGCTAACTACTTATAGATACATGGCAGGACGAGTACATGCATTTACATGTTTGGACCAGCCAGCCTATCAATTATATACCATTTATTAATTATTTACCGCACAAACCGTGACTCCTGATATTTGGACAATATAACTTTCTCAACTATCAAAATTACATGTACATTTTATAATAAATTTGAAAATATAATAATTGGAAAGATTTTAATCACAAGTTCAAATTTTCTGAACTTAGATTCTTAGCACCCATCGGTACAATGCTTGCTCCTCAACGATCAATCAGTCTCCTCAACTTTTCCTTTTTTTTTTTCTTTCTCTAAAGCGGATCTATACTTGAGAGAGAGGAAATTGTAGAAAATGTGTTTTGTCGTGACCATGGTATTTTTTTATTATTATTATGGTGACATAAATTACAAAGGCAAATACAGAGCAAGACAAAGAGAAGAAAAGCGAAAGGACCAGAAAATGAGAAAGAAGAAATTGTTGACCAGGCCAAAAGCCAGGCGAGAGAAAAAAACAAAGAGGAATTACCAAAAAAAAAAAAAAAGCTGGGCAACACAGCCAGGTCGAAATCTTGGCAAAGCAGTTTCCACAGTCTAGCGGGAGCGTAACAGTAGCAGACCAGTCACCACTCCGTCGTAATGGCTCTTTCGTCAGCAGCTCCTCCAAGCTCTCCCCTTCTTGGCACGAACCTTCCAATTATCTCCCAAACCTTCTTCGTAACACTGCAATTAAGGAACAAGTGATTAAGATCCTCCTCCGCAGCTCGGCACATCTCACATCTCCTGGGAAATGTCCAGCCTCGTCTCTTGAGGGCGTTGTGCGTGAGAATTCTTCTATAGAAAGCAATCCAAAGGAAATCTTGGTCTGTACCACCTGTTGCCAGATGGGCATGAAAGGAAAGGTCGGATCACCATGGTACATCACAATCCTTGTTCTGTATAATGAGTTAACAGTGAACCCGACAGTAGGTTGAGGCTGCCACACCACTTTAGAAGGACTTGCAATCAACAAACTAGAAGCTGAATTGTCAAGCAAACACATCAAACTCACTCTTTCTCTATCAGCCCCCCTCTCAATGAATTTTATGATCAATATCTCAGATAATTCTCCCACACTCAACGCGAAAGTTATTAGTGACACGACTATTCAGAGAAACAGCTATAGCGACAACCCTTGGGAAGGCTTCGACAAGCATCACCCTATTGATCCATCTATCAAACCAAAATGAGTTCCAAACGCTTCTCGCTTCAATGTAAGCATGATTCCAAAGAATCTTTTAAAACTTGTTGATCTCCTTCCAAAGGCTCCACCCAATACTGCTAGTACAGTCACTTGGCATCCAGTCATAACTTGTAACAATACGACCGGTCCGCGATAGATGATGTATAGTTATGTGTTCAATATATCCATCCTTTATAAGTGATCATTGTATGGACTCACTTTTTACTTTTCATCTTAAACGTTGAAAATATCCAACCATCAAAATTATTTGATCAATAAATATTTAATAATAAATAAAATATTCGATATTTATTAGAAAATATATACAATTTTTGATAATTTTAATTTTTGATGAATTGGTTGAGGCTTTCATTTCGTCAAAATAGCAAACAAAACTTGTTGGCAACAAGCTCTGCCAAATGATCTTCCCTGCCTGAGCAACATCAATCTGTTTTTGGAACTGCAGTGATGTCCAGACGAGTTCACCAGTCCATTGATTTCCAGGAGTGCGACCTGTGAATTTAGCAAACAAAGCAGCAAATATTTGTCTATACACTCTACATTCTGCAAATAGGTGAGACCTTGTCTCCAGAGGACAAGGACAGAAAATGCATCAAAAGCTCCCAGCATCCCCCCATCCTTGAATTTTATCCCCTGTTACAATATAATCACTGACCACAAGCCACGCAATAAACTGATTTTTTGGGATGCAAGAACCTTTCCAGACTAGTGCATTCCAAGACACAGGCCTGCTTTTAGGTCTAACTTCCTCCCAAACCTTCTTGATACTGAACTTTGTCAGAGGGTCCCCTTTCCAGTAAACTCCATCTGCATCATTAGATAACCAATTCCTTAACTTGTCTCTACTCTTGAGCAACTTGAGCCATAGCCAAGATCCATTCGTTGCAGTTACATCCCAAAAGCTACCCCTCTTAATTCTGTATTCCCAGATCTAGGCAACCCATAGAGATCCCTACTTCAGAAGGATAGCCCAAATGTGCCTCGTTACACAAGCATAATTCCATGAATTCGTATCCCTAAGTCCTAGGTCATCCTCTTTTTTAGGATAAGTGATCCTTGACCAGGCTACCGGCCACTGCCTTTTTCCTAGCTCCATCCCCCACACCCCATAGAAAATCACTACATAGCTTCTCAATAGATCTAATAACAGCTTTGGGTAAGATGAAGATAGACATCCAAAATTGTGTAAGCCTATACAACACAGAAATTACCAACTGAAACTTACCAGCATAGGATACAGATTTTGATTTCCAACTAGCAATCCTCCTTGTGACTCTGTCAATCAAAGGAGCACAAGCTCTTATTGTGAGCTTTCCTACCAGCAAGGGGATGCTTAAATATCTGACAGGGAGAGCCCCCAACTTGTATCCTGAGAACTCAACCATTACTTTCTGCCAATGCTCACTAATACCCCCACAATATAACTCACACTTTGCTGGATTTGACTGAAGACCTGACACAGTCCTAAACTCTGCCAACACTTTTTGAATGCATTGAATTCCAAAATGGGATCTATTAGAGAAAAGCAGTAGATCATTAGAAAACATAAGTTGAGTAAGTTTGAGCCTCTTGCACATAGGGTGAAAAGACATACTGTTCTTCTTAACTGCTTCGTTCATAAGACAGGAGAGAATTTCCATTGCAACTGCAAACAAATAAGGGGAGAAGGGATCACCCTGTCTCAGACCCTTCTTAGCTGAAAATAGCCAACTGAACCTCCATTAAATCCAACACTAAGCTTCAGAGTTGTCACACACATTCTCAACCAATTTAAGAACCTAGCAGGAATCCCCATAGCTTTCAGGACAGTAAACAGGAACCCCCAATCCACTGAATCAAAGGCTTTCATCAAGTCAACCTTTATTAATGATCTAGGGGATATATTATTCCTAACATATTTCTGGACCAGTTCATGTGCAATCACAATGTTTTCACCTATAACTCTACCTTTGACAAAAGCTGTCTGAGATTCACTAATAATACTAGGCATGACAGAGCTTAGCCTTGTAGTCAGGATTTTTGCCATACACTTATATAGGATATTGCAACAGGAAATTGGTCTAAAGAACTTCATTTTCTCAGGGTTCTGAACCTTAGGAATAAGAGTCAGGAGGGTGGAATTGATACTAACAGGTATACTAGAGACATGAAAACAGTATAGAATAGCATTTGTTACCTCAACTCCAATTATACTCCATGCAGCCTGAAAGAAACAAGCAGGGAAGCCATCAGGGCCAGGGGCTTTCTCCCCATTAAATCCAAACATAGTATATCAAATTTCCTCAGCAGTGACAGGCCTACACAACTCATCAGCTTGACCAGGAGACAGTGTTTTCATCAGAATACTTGAGATCTTATCAACTTCAGGGAGAACCACATCTTTATCCTTCTCACACAACAGCTTCCTATAGAAACCTTCAGCTATCTTTGCCATCCCATCAGTATCAATAACTCTTTGACCATTATCATCCAACAAAGACCTAATCATATTCCTTTTCTCTCTACTCTGAACTGAGTTGTGAAAATATGGCGTGTTGGAATCACCTTCCTTAAGCCAGATTTCTCTAGACTTCTCGAAAGAAGGATTCCTCAGCCTCTCTAAGTTCTTTAACTTCTTTTGCCAATCTGATCTCAACTTCAAAATTGACTGGTGAAGGTTTCTTTAAAGCATCAGCCTTAGCTTCAAGCAACTCAACCGCTTTTAAACGAACTCTCGCACACAAATCAGAATAAACATCCTTGTTTAACTTCTTAAGTAGACCCTTCAGTATCTTCAACTTCTCTCTCACACGCACACACACACACACACATAAGAGGAGACCCCTCCACTTACATCTCCCAAGCCTCCTTTACCAAATCCATGAAGCTAGGATGCTTGATCCAAAACTTAAAGAACTTGAAGAGCTTAGTTAGGGACTTCACTGAACTATCAGTATTCAAGAATATTGACCAATGATCAGACACTGATGGGTCCATCACATCCACTATACTTGAAGGTAAATCTGCAAACCATTTAGTATTAACAAAAACACGATCAAGCCTCCTTGCAATGGGATTGCCCACCTGCTTATTAATCCAAGTAAACAACGGGTTCGAAGCCTTATGTTCTTCCAGATCACAATCATACTGCCACTACCTGAAATCAGACGTACTACTAGAGAACTGAGGGGCATTAGAAGCTTCACTTACATCTCCTATGGCATAAAAATTCGCCAAAACTATCCAAGGAGCTGAATTGATATGAAAATGCACCAAATCTCTATATAGAACCCTTCTCTCCAACTCCTAATTTGATGCATAAACAACTGAAAGAAAGAAAGGTACACCAGAAGCTATCATTATATGAATAAACTGCTGTTTTGTGAAGGACAGTGAGTTTAATATCATACCTCCAAAGCAGCCACACTTTACCCAATCCCATAGAATTCCCAACAAGGAAACCTTTTGTTTATCACCCCTTTAGCTTTACTTGCTCTAACTCTAGGTTCTAGTATAGCTAGATTATCTATATTATGTCTACTAACTAGCTGCTGAACATCTTTATTCTTATCCGAGTCATTAAATCCTCGGATATTCCACATAAGTACTTTCATCTTTTCTTACCCACCCTCCCCCCTTTGCGGAGAACAGCAGGAATGACAACTCGAGGAGTATTTGGTCTTCTCTTAGAGCTGCCTAAAGTGATCCAAGGGTTTGGTTCTTTCTCCTTATCTACTGTAGGAGTCCGAGAAGTTACCCTCCCAGATTCTGGTGAGATAACTTCAGCAGGCTGATGCATCAATTGACTTGGACTCTCAGA